GGGGCCACGAAGGGCATGCATATGGGGCCACCACGGGCGCGAACGAGCGGAGGCCACGAAGGACATACATATAGGGGGCCACGAAGGGCAGCGAGGGGGCCACGAAGGGATGCAACGGGGAAGGGGAGCGAGGGGGCCACGAAGGGCTGCAACGGGGCCACGAAGGGCTGCAACGGGGCCACGAAGGGCAGCGAGGGAGCCACGAAGGGCTGCAACGAGGCCACGAAGGGCAGCGAGGGGGCCACGAAGGGCAGCAACGGGGCCACGAAGGGCAGCGAGGAGGCCACGAAGGGCTGCAACGGGGCAACGAAGGGCAGCGAGGGGGCCACGAAGGGCTGCTACGGGGCCACGAAGGGCAGCAAGATCCCGATTCCTAGGTAGTCTGTGAGGGAGTCCTAAGCGTGAGCGCGACTCCTGGGTGCCTGGGTGTCGGGAGCGCGGTGCTTGAGTAAATTGCAAGAAATTCCAACGCAAGGGCGCTATTCGTTAGTAAATTGCAAGCAAGTCTCCAGCGAAAGCGCGACTCCAGAGCGCCGGGAGAGCGACTCCTGAATAAATTATTCACTGCGTGGAGCTCCCCAGATGTGCATCTATTCGCATGGACCTGTCCGCCGTGAGTGTCTAGGCGCAAGGGTTTTCGAATATAAGCGGGCTTGAGTTGTGACGGTCTGGTCATGAATCAAACTGCGAATGAATTGGAGTGTGAATGAGCCTCATTAGTACAAGCGAGTCTCTGCGCATGACCCTGGTGCCTCCTGGGGCCTCCTGAAACCTACTGGGACTTCCTGGTGCCTCCAGGAGCCTCTTGGGGCCTCCTGGGGCCTCCTGGGACCTCCCAGGGGGTAGGATTCGTGCCCCAGGAGAGGCCCAATATGTAGGAACAGACGTCCCACAAAACATTACGAATTGGAGCCACAGGAGAACGGCAATATATAGGAACACACGTAAAACACCAAGGACTCGTGCCCCAGGAGAGGCCCAGCATAGGAACAGTAGTAAAACAGTTAGGATTGTGTACACCGGAGAAAGACAATATATAGAAACAGACGTATAACATCAAGGATTCGTGCTCCAGGTGAAGCCCAATCTTTAGGAGCATACGTAAAACACATGGGATTGGAACCACTCCTGTTGCCTTCTGAGGCCTCCTGCTCCTGCGGCCTCTCGGGGCCTCCTGTTGCCTTCCGAAGCCTCCTGGCGCTTCCTGTGGTCTCCTGGGACCTCCTGTGGCTTCCTGAGGCCTCCTGGAGCTTCCTGGGGCCTCATGGAGCCTCTTGGGACATCCTGTGACCTCTTGAATCTTTCTGTGGCCTCCTGATAACTCATGGGACCTCATATGGCCTCCTGGGGCCTGTTGGAGCCTCCTGTGGCATCCTGAGGAGAATCTGTGCCCACGAGTCTGGCCACCAAAACAAGCAAACCGATCGAGGCATCCTCAAAATCTGGCCCACCTGGGGGGGGACATGAGCGCCTCGCTCGAGGCATCCTCCAAATCTGCTCTCCAAGAGAAGGATGCTGGGACAGAAAACAGGCAAACCGCTTGAGACATCCCCACAAAACGGCCGCGAACGGGACCCTGCAATACCCCTCGGCGGCTCCCCTGAGGGGTGCTGAAGCCAGCGCCTCGCTCGAGACATCCTCCAAATCTGCTCTCCAACCGAAGGATGTTTGGACAAATTAGCCTGGCGAAGGACCCAACCACATGCAGTTGTGAATGCCGCAATTGTGCTGGGTGGTGGCGGACGCATGCGGGCGGTGCCACTGGGACCTTCGGTGGAGCTCCCTATGGGGCCACGAAACGCTGTACTGGGTGGGTGAGACGCGGTCAGCAAGGGCTGTGCTGCGTGGTGGCGGACGCATGCGAGCGGTGCCACTGGGACCTTCGGTGGAGCTCCCTATGGGGCCACGAAACGCTGTACTGGGTGGGTGAAACGCAGGCAGGGAGCAAGGGCTGCGCAGGGTGGTGGCGGACGCATGCGGGCGGTGCCGCTGGGACCTTTGGTGGAGCTCCCTATAGGGCTACGAAGCGCTGTTCTGGGTGGGTGAAGCGCAGGGAGCAAGGGCTGCGCAGGGTGGTGGCGGACGCAAGCGGGCAGTGCCACTGGGACCTTTGGTGGAGCCCCCTATGGGGCCACGAAACGTGCGAGGGGTGTGCCGAAATGGGGGGGGACCACATGCGAGCGCAGCCATTGGGGCGTTCGGTGGAGCTCCCCATGGAGCCACCCACGAAGCGTGTGAGGGGTGTGCCGAAATGGTGGGTGGAACCGCATGCGAGCGCAGCCACTGGAGCGTTCGGTGGAGCTCCCTATGGGGCCACGAAACGTGTGAGGGGTGTGCCAGAATGGGGGGTGGAACCGCATGCGGGCGCAGCCACTGGGGCCTTCGGTGGAGCTCCCTATGGGGCCACGAAACGTGTGAGGGGTGTGCCAGAATGGGGGGTGGAACCGCATGCGGGCGCAGCCACTGGGGCCTTCGGTGGAGCTCCCTATGGGGCCACGAAACGTGTGAGGGGTGTGCCAGAATGGGGGGTGGAACCGCATGCGGGCGCAGCCACTGGGGCCTTCGGTGGAGCTCCCTATGGGGCCACGAAACGTGTGAGGGGTGTGCCAGAATGGGGGGTGGAACCGCATGCGGGCGCAGCCACTGGGGCCTTCGGTGGAGCTCCCTATGGGGCCACGAAACGTGTGAGGGGTGTGCCAGAATGGGGGGTGGAACCGCATGCGGGCGCAGCCACTGGGGCCTTCGGTGGAGCTCCCTATGGGGCCACGAAACGTGTGAGGGGTGTGCCAGAATGGGGGGTGGAACCGCATGCGGGCGCAGCCACTGGGGCCTTCGGTGGAGCTCCCTATGGGGCCACGAAACGTGTGAGGGGTGTGCCAGAATGGGGGTGGAACCGCATGCGGGCGCAGCCACTGGGGCCTTCGGTGGAGCTCCCTATGGGGCCACGAAACGTGTGAGGGGTGTGCCAGAATGGGGGGTGGAACCGCATGCGGGCGCAGCCACTGGGGCCTTCGGTGGAGCTCCCTATGGGGCCACGAAACGTGTGAGGGGTGTGCCAGAATGGGGGGTGGAACCGCATGCGGGCGCAGCCACTGGGGCCTTCGGTGGAGCTCCCTATGGGGCCACGAAACGTGTGAGGGGTGTGCCAGAATGGGGGGTGGAACCGCATGCGGGCGCAGCCACTGGGGCCTTCGGTGGAGCTCCCTATGGGGCCACGAAACGTGTGAGGGGTGTGCCAGAATGGGGGGTGGAACCGCATGCGGGCGCAGCCACTGGGGCCTTCGGTGGAGCTCCCTATGGGGCCACGAAACGTGTGAGGGGTGTGCCAGAATGGGTGTGGGAGGGGGAGGAGGGGGGAGGAAGGGGAGGAGGAGGAAGGAGGAGGAGGAACGCGGGGCGACGTCACTTCAAAACGAGGACCTAACACCACAGGATGGTTGGGAAAAAACAGCAAACCGCTTGAGACATCCCCACAAAACGGCCGCGAACGGGACCGTGCAATACCCCTCGGCGGCTCCCCTGAGGGGTGCTGAAACCAGCGCCCCGCCTGAGACATCTTCACCATCTGCTGTGTTGAATAAGTCAGACAATGAGAAGATCTGAGCATGAGTAAGTATGGGTATGAGTGAGTCTCTGCATGAGTAAGTCTGAGCATGAGCAGGTCTGAATATGAGTAGGTCTGAGCATGAGTAAGTTAATATGACCAGGTCTGAGTATGAGTAAGTATGTGTAACAGTAAGTATGTGTATGAGTAAGCCTAGGTATGAGGAGGAGGAGAAGGAGAAGAAGAAGAAAAAGAGGAGGGAGTAGAAAGCGTCCAAGTAATAACAATAACCCCATCTTAGGATATGGGGAAGAAGAGGAAGGAGAAGGAGAAGGAGGAGGCAGCCAAGGAATGACAAGAACCCCATCTTAGGATATGGGGAATTCTAAGGAAGTCCCAAGCGAGAATACAATGCGAGGAAGTCCTTAGCGGGAGCAAGGGTCCTGGCTAAATTGTGAGGTCTCAGGCGGGAACCGCTGTTGTTGTAATTCGGGGGCCAGGGGCGCAGTTTGAGCATCAAGACGTTCCCTGCCAAAAAACAAGGTGCGAGCATCGAAGGGCACACTTCGATTGAGAAAAAAAGTATGCACCGGTGAGGGGGGATCAACAATGATTATCCTTATCTTCAGAAATAAGAATTCAACAACAACAACAACAACAACAACAACAACAACAACAACAACAACAACAACAGCAACAGCAACAGCAACAGCAACAGCAACAACAACAACAACAGCCACAACCACAACCACAACCACAACAGCAACAACAACAGGATAATCGAAAGATCATCCCCATACAAGTTTTCTTACTACGTTTGAACACTCCTCCTGTAGAAGGACATGACCGACCTAAGCTTACGTGCTGAAGGACACCGGCGCGGCAGGCGCTGCGCGGAGAGGCGGATGCTCACACGGGAAGCTCGCGCGCGCGGCAGACCAGCACGCGGGGTCGCAGGATGCGGCTGCAGCCCGAGAGAGGGGCGGGCGGCCAAGAGAGGGGCGTCCAGAGGGGGGGGGGGGGGGGGGGGGGGGGGGGGGAGGGGGGGCGAAATCATGGCCGGCGGCTGCGTGCGTGGCCAGGGGGGGGGGCAGGGACGCAATGAGATAAGGCGAGGCGCCATGAAATCTGAGGAAATATCATGGCCCACGCCATATCCGCCCCCCCCTTGGACGCCCGAGTTATCCGGGGTAACTCGGGCCCGGGGTAACTCGGGTTTGGATTCCCGAAAAACGAACCCGAGTTAGCCCTGACCCGAATTATCCCTGGTGATTTGGGGCTCCGGACGCCCGAGTTATCCGAAGTAACTCGGGCCCGGGGCAACTCGGGTTCGGATTCCCGAAAAACGAACCCGAGTTCGCCCTGACCCGAGTTACCCCTGATGATTCGGGTCTCTGACCCCCCCCCCAGTCATCACCCCCTCTTGGCCCCAACGAGAGAGGGAGGGCGGGCGGGCCTCCGCAGTCGGAAGGAGGCGCTGTCCACCCCCTGCAGGGCGTGCAGCAGGTCGCGCAGCAGCTGGGGCTCGGAGACGGGCAGCAGGGCGCCGGCGCCTGCCGTGCTGGCCGCTCGCGGCCTCTCTCTTGCTAGGGTGCCTCGCGATCTCCTCTCCTCCTCTCCTCCTCTCTCCTCCTCCTCCTCTCCTCCTCCTCCTCCTCCTCCTCCTCCTCCTCCTCCTCCCCCTCCCCCTCCCCCCCCTCCTCCTCCTCCTCCTCCTCCTCCTCCTCCTCCCCCTCCTCCTCCTCCTCCTCCTCCTCCTCCTCCTCCCCCCTCCTCCTCCTCCCCCTCCTCCTCCTCCCCCTCCCCTCCTCACTCCTCCTCCCCTCCTCCTCCTCCTCCTCCTCCCTCCTCCCCCTCCTCCTCCTCCCCCTCCTCCTCATCTTCCTCCTCCTACTCCTCCTCCTCCTATCGATCGGGGCGCGCCGAAAGACAACATCACCACGGACGCGCTTGGGCTGCCTGGCTGGCGGACTGGTTGCCTGGCAAGTATACTGATGGGCTGGTGGACCGACTTGTTCACCCGTGCCGTGCACGGGGCTGGCCAAGCAGCTGGCGGGACTGCTCGTATGGCTCGCTCGCTCGGATGTTTTCAGCCCCTAGGGTCAGGTCGGGCGTGTCCTCCTACAGGAAGTGGATCTTGGACGACAACTTCCAAACAACAAAAAACATAAAATCGCCCCCAAGCCTATATTTTCACTACTTCGGAACTGTCCTCCTGTAGAGGGACGTGCTCGACTTAACCCGAAGGGCCGTTTCCTGACCCTGGGACTGTGACAAGCAACAACAACAACAACAAGGCAAAACAACCTGCTGGTGTACCCGGAGCCGGTCCACCAGTTCGCTGTTTTGCTCCATGTAGCGAAACAACCCACTGGTGTACCAGGACCCCCCCCCCCCCCCCACCCCCCCGCAACGCAACGCAACGCAACGCAACACGGCTGTATGAGCAGCCTCTGTTGCGTTGTGTTCCGTTGCGCGGGCAGGTGGGGGGTGTGTGACCCTACGGGAGCTCCCACTGTATGGGATCCCCTACGGATCCTATACGGACTGTATAGGATCCCATACGGATCCTATACGGACTGTATGGGATCCCATACGGATCCTATACGGACTGTATGGGATCCCATACGGATCCTATACGGACTGTATGGGATCCCATACGGATCCTATACGGACTGTATGGGATCCCATACGGATCCCATACGGACTGTATGGGACCGCATACGGATCCTATACGGACTGTATGGGATCCCATACGGATCCTATACAGACTGTATAGGATCCCATACGGATCCTATACGGACTGTATGGGATCCCATACGGATCCTATACGGACTGTATGGGATCCCATACGGATCCTATACGGACTGCATGGGATCCACCTGACGGGAATGCTATCCAGACTGTATAGGAATCCCCTACGATTCCTATACCACTGTATAGCATCCCATACGGATCCTATACAACTGTATAGGATCCCATACGGATCCTATACAGACTGTATGGGAATTCCCCTACGGTCCTATACAGACGTATAGGATCCCATACGGAATCCTATACAGACTGTATGGGATCCCCTACGGATCCTATACAGAACTGTATGGGGTCCATAAAACGGAATCCTATACGGACTGTTATGGGGTCCCATACGGAACCTATACAGACTGTATGGGATCCCCTACGGATCATCTACGGACCTGTATGGCTCCCATATCGGATCCTATACGGACTGTAATGGATCCCATACGGATCCCCATAAGGACTGTATGGGAACCGCATACGGAATCCTTATACGAGCTGTATGGGAATCCCATCAACGGAATGTCCTATACAGACTGTATAGGATCCCATACGGATCCTATACGGACTGTATGGGATCCCATACGGATCCTATACGGACTGTATGGGATCCCATACGGATCCTATACGGACTGTATGGCATCGCATACGGATCCTCTACGGACTGTATGGGATCCCATACGGATCCTATACGGACTGTATGGGATCCCATACGGATCCTATACGGATTGTATGGGATCCCCTACGGATCCTATATAGACTGTATGGGATCCCCTACGGATCCTATACGGACTGTATGGGATCCCCTACGGATCCTATACGGACTGTATGGGATCCCTTACGGATCCTAGACGGACTGTATGGGATCCCCTACGGATCCTATACAGACTGTATAGGATCCCATACGGCGTCTATACGGACTGTATGGGATCCCATACGGATCCTATACGGACTGTATGGGATCCCATACGGATCCTAGACGGACTGTATGGGATCCCCTACGGATCCTATCCAGACTGTATAGGATCCCATACGGCTTCTATACGGACTGTACGGGATCCCATACGGATCCTATACGGACTGTATGGGGTCCCCTACGGATCCTATACGAACTGTATGGGATCCCATACGGATCCTATACGGACTGTATGGGATCCCTTACGGATCCTATACGGACTGTATGGGATCCCCTACGGATCCTATACGGACTGTATGGGATCCCCTACGGATCCTATACGGACTGTATGGGATCCCATACAGATCCTATACGGACTGTATGGGATCCCTTACGGATCCTAGACGGATTGTTCTCGCTTGGGTTCCCGCTGGGGCGCTCTGGAGGGTCTGGGGGGAGGCGCCGTGAGAGGCGGGGCCCGAGGCCTCTAGAGGCTCGTCCTCCTCCTCCTCCTCCTCCTCCTCTACATCCCCCATCCTCCGCGTTCCCCTCCCATTCCCCCTTCCCCCCCATCCCCGCCTCCTTCCTCCTGCCCCCTCCCCTCCTCCTCATCCTCCCTCTCCTCCGCCTCCTCTCCTCCTCCTCCTCGCCCTCCTCCTCCTCTCTCCTCCTCCTCGCTCCTCCTCCCTCCTCCTCCTCCAACTCGCCTCCCTCGCCCTCCTCCTCCTCCTCCTCCTTCCTCCCCCTCCTCCCCCTCCTCTCCTCCGCCTTCCTCCTCCTCCTCCTCCTCCTCCTTCCTCCTCCTCCTCCGCCTCCTCTTCCTCCTCACTCCTCCTCCTCCTCCTCCTTCCCCCCTCCCCTTTCCCCTCCTCCTCTTCCGCCTCCTCCTAGAACCCTGTACGGGTCCTATAGGAATCCTCTGGAACCGTGTAGGGGTCCTATAGGAATCCTATGGAACCCTGTAGGGGTCCTGTGGGAGCCCTATAGAACCCTGTACGGGTCCCTGTACGCCCCGCGGGGGGGCGCGCGGGGAGAGCGTTGCGTTGCGTTGCGCTGCGTTGCGCGGGGGGGGGGGGGGGGGGGAGGCCGGGCCGCCAGCTAGTGGTTTCGGCAACAACAACAACAGGCAACAACAACACAACAAACAAAAACAACGACACGACAACAACAGCACAACAAAACAACAGCAACAACACAACCACAACACAACCAACAACACACCACACAACAACATCACTTTACCCGAACGCTCAGTGTTCTCACCAGGGCCAGGTGTTTTTCATGCGAACGCCAGCCAAACCCACTTTGTGGGAGGGCAGTTGGCCAAGCTCTACCAAATATCCACCGACTACAGACGGGGAGAGAGCGAAACGATTCTTTTCGCCACCACCCACACCCAGCTTCCCGCCCTATGACGTTCGGACACTTCACTTCGTGGCCTGCGGACGACCGTGGCTACTACACTGGCGTGGAGTACACACCCACAGAAGTTGTTAGGACATCGCGCGCGGGTAGAAATTTTGAAAAGTCGTGCAGGTGTTTTTCGAGGACCTACGGTGCGATTCGTGTGATTTTATGATGCGCGGTGCTAAAATTCTTAAGAAGCCCAATGGTTTTTTGGAGATTTCGGCGTGCGCGCGCGAAGAAAAAACGAATGTGTCCCGCATGGTATTATTTGACAGGGATGATGGCCCTGGCAGGTGCGCAACCGTTGTCGCAGAAGTTCGAAAAAGTTTCTCGCAAAAGCCCGTTTGACAGAAATGTTTAAAAAGTGTTGGGTTTCCTACGAATCCGCAAGAGCGCGCGGGATGATTTTTTGACATTTTTTTGTTGAAAAACCATTGGTTTTTTGATGTTTTTATATTAAAATCGCTCCGAACACTAAGCTTTTGGAAGGATTTCGTCTTGCGCGCGCGAATGTCCACTTTACCTTATTTTTTGCAAGGGATTCTTGCAATTTGATTATATTAGAACAAGAAATGTCATTTTATAGTGTTTTTTGCAAGGGAAAGCGGGGGGGAACAAAACAACCGGATCTTGATCACAACGAATTACCTGAGGCTTCCTCACGAAAAATGATGAAAATGTAGCTGCGGCCTAGGCGGCGCAGGGGGGCCGTGCACCAGGGGTCCCAACAATAAATTATTCTTTAGAATTGATAATGTTAATGTCAACACAACAACAACACAACACAACGACAACGACAACGACAACGACACAACAACAACAACAACAGCAGCAGCAGCACAACACAACAACAACACAACAGCAGCAACAACAACAACACCAACAATATACAGCAGCAGGAGCAGCAGCCGCGGTAGGAGCAGCAGCCAGCGCAGCAACACAACAGCAACAACAACAACGGCAATAGCACTAACAGACACCAACAACAACACACAACAACAATAACAACAAAAACAACACAACAACAACACATCAACAACACCACAAACACAGCACAACAACAACAAACAAAACAACAATAACAACAACAACACCACAACAGCAACAGCAATAACAACAATTGCAGCAGTAATAACCACACAACAGCAACAACAACAACAGCAGCAACAACAACAACGACCATCATTTTAAGACTGTTCGCCCTTATCTGCTCGAGTGTCCAATAACGCGTATTTTCAAAACCCTCGATACCCGCCATCTTCGTCTTCGATCGTACCCCTTTTGGGGGGTATACCACCCTTCTTCCCTGCAGGCCAGGCCCTGGCAAGCGGCGGGGCGGCCGCGGACAGTCGGCCTGGCCAGCGGCAACGCTGATCGGCGGGGCGGCCGCGGACCGTCGACCCGACCCCCAGAGGGACGGACAGGGGACCGACCACGACGACGACGACGACG